TATTTGTCTGAAAACCTCCGCCTCCATGAAGCAACGGCAATGGTCCCTTAGCAGCCCCTGCAGCATGCACGCACCACCAGAAGGAGATCACAATCCAGGGGACAACAATTTTGGCATTGGTCTTGATCCTGGTGTACACTTTGGCGTCAAAAAACGGGGGTTTGGCATGAAAAAAAATTACTCGATCCAGAAAAATTCTTAGAGTTGTGAAAGGACGTTTCGTTGAGAAAAAAAAAATGCGCGCGAAGTGAAAAAATTGCGCGCGAAGTGTCCACAACAGGGTGGTATTGGGTTCACTTTTCAATCGGAACTTGAACGGCCGCTTTGTAGCACGTGTTGAGCTACAAGCGTTCGATTAGGTGAAAAACAATTTGTGAAACTGAATCACACATGTACCGACTAAAAGTTACAACCTTTACCTATTAACCTGGACACCTTTCCTACAAACGCTCGCGCGCCCCTTAAATTAAAGGTTGGGACTTGCAGTACAAACGCATCGCGCTCAAAGGCGTGCGCCTGAGGTCATTACGTGTGCATGACTCCTGACAAAGATTGTGGGGTACGCATTTCTAGTGCAGTTGCGGCAATTGCACAATTTGGTTTCGATGGCATGAAATTTATGAACTTTTGAATCTTCTACTTGATGCCTGCGTGCGGGATGGCGCTATTCCAATCCTTGGTGGTGATTTTAATTAATGCTTGTGTTAGATCACCATGCCAGTGTGATGAAACTGAACATACAGGTCGGTGTGGAGCAGGAGAATTGGACATGCATTCGAACAATGGATGGCGCACATGTACAAATAGATGTCATTTTGATGGGCTTGCGGTTACGCCATGTAAGTTCCTGGAATGAGTTTGCAATTGGTATTGGTTTGGATCATCGTTGCGTTCATTGTATTTTGGAGATCCCTGGTGCGAACCCAAAACAACGCAAACGAAAACGTACAGTGAAACGCTGAAGGCCTTTTTTGGCTGAAGAACAACAACCGAGTGACTTTCAAATTTGTGTGCGGGACCTTGTACGCAACAAACCGGATATAACCTTTGCAGATTTGCAACATTTTTTTGTTTATGGCTGGATTTCACTATGGAACCTGCAGTGCAAACTTGGCTAAATTCAAACCTTCCTTGCGACTAACAAGTTTGCGGCGACAAAGGCGACAGAGTCAAGACACACAAATTCGTAAACAATTGACATTTACAACCCAGAAACTGCAAAAACAGGAACTTGGAACATGGAAATTGTCGAGAACTGTTCAGTTTGTTGCTTCACCACACCATTGGCGTTTCCTTCGCGAGTTAATCCGGAAATCATTTGGCCGGACAGTCGTGGACCATCCATCCGCAAATGAATGTGCGACTTACTTGTCCGACATATTTTCTGGCAACACTGTGCAAATCAATCGTCCAAACGATTTGACGGAACTTAGGTGGACACTAGGTGAGGTACAGTTCGCGGTAGCTAAACTGAAGCCGAACAAGGCTGCAGATGGTTGTGGTTTGGTGGCTGAACTGTTGAAACATGCACCGCCCGAGTTTTTGATGGTGATGGTGGATCTGTTCAAACACGTTTTGTTCCATGGTGATGCTACCGTGACGTGGCGCAAAACATTTTCTCCAATGCTTCCGAAAAAACATAGAACTATTTTAACAACTGATTTCGGGCCGATTGCCAATATCCGTTTGCTCTACAAAACTTTTGCGTACATGATTTTGCATCGCATCGAAGCAGTGTTGGAGATGGAACAACCAGAAGAACAAAATGGTTTTCGGGCAGGATGGCGGGTGGAAGTGATCACTGCAAAGTTGATTTTGGATGAAAAACAAAAGATTGAATTTGCCAATATGGATTGTTAGCCTTGATTTGTCAAATTTGATCGGGTACATTGGCCAGCCCTATGGCGAGCACTTCGCAGACAAGGAGTCTCAGATCATTTGGTTTGGCTTTTGGAAACGCTTTATGCAGATCAACGGGGCCAAGTGATGGGACAATCGAATGATGTTAGCGATGACTTTGAAATTAGTGCAGGTGTACGTCAAGGATGTGTTCTTAGTCCACGCGTTTTCTGCGCAATACTCCACGAAGCAATGCGAAGTTGGCGCAATGCAGAAGAAAGGAACCGCCTGAATTTGCAGGATGGTTTGCAACATCTGTTGGATTTGCGGTTTGCAAATGACATTCTCCTTTTTGCGGAAACGTCGCACAGATGGGTACAGCTGTTGGACACATTGATTGAATGTTTGGAAAGTGTTGGCCTATCCTGAAATGCATCAGAAACAATCATTTTGACGACAGAAACCCAGCCCCCAAATTTCTTGAGAACAAGGCGAGCTAAACAAATTACAGTTTGGATTTTACAGGTTCCCACAAGTGGTTAGGATGCATGTTGACCAGTAAAGGCTCCAAGAGTTCCAACATCCACATCGAATACCATTTGCAAGCGGCAACCAAAACATTTTATGCAAACAAAACCGTTTTATGCGACCAACACGTGTCGATTTGCAAGCGGCTTCGTTACTTTCATACAGTTGTGACGCCCGTGGCTTGTTTTGGTGCAGGTCCCAAAGCCATACATGGAGTCGATTTATCGAATTTAGATGTTCATTTTTGGAAATTGGTAAGAAACATAGTTGGTCCACCTCCGCAAACAAATTGGGATAGCCCTTGGCATATCATTTTACTTGCTTGGAACGAAAGAGTCAGTTATTTTGTTCAACAATCCGGTATTCCTATGTGGACAACATCTTGCTTGCAACAACATTGGCGTTTTGCACGGTACATTGCAAATTGACCTGCCAAAAACAAAACAGATGGGTTAAAAGGTTCCACATTGGACACCAATGGGCGATGCAACAGTGGGAAGGCCGCGCGTTGTATGGGAATCGAAAATTCAAGGATTTCGCGGCTACAAACTACTTGGAAACTGGTTGGATGTGGCAAAGAGCGATGTATGAATTGACATGATCGATGATTACGTAGGCTTTTGTTTCCCTAGGATTGCCTACTTTATTTTATCCGTGTGTTTTTTCCGTTGTGGGCGTGATGCGTTGCAACAAATGCAAGGCCATGTTCTTTTATGCCAACGTGCAATAGAAAGAAGCAAGTGCCGCGAACCTATCCGGCAATGATGGAAACGTAACAACAATTACTTTCCCACGGCGTACGGGCTTGCATGTCCGTACCTTGCGTGCCTCGTGCGCAGATCTGAATAGACGTAAAACATCGCGGCCGGCTTCTCTTTATATATCATTTTTTTTTTCCAGCAGGGGATCACCGGGGTCCCGGGGGGGTTGGTGATCAACTAAGACACCTCCCCGGGACCCGTGTGCACGTACCTGCTAGGCTTTGGTGGTGCACCTGGGCGCATTTAAGTCGCAGCTGGTGGCCACCATAGCCCATCCACACACACACACACACATATATATATATATAAATATGTATATATATATATTTATATTATTCCATTATAATTTATTATATTTATATATATATAATATTGTATGATCATTTTTTTTTATTCATTGATTGATGGTTTTTTTTTAAATATACTAATTGCACATGAGGGAATTCAGATCCCAACGGATCACTACAATGATCCAGTTCTTGCCTAGTGTGATTTCATGGTGGCTGCAATATGGTGCCATGGACCCACTTGAGGGAACCTTACGGTGAATGTTGACCGACTGGGCGTCCGAATTGTCAATTTTAATTCCAAAATTTGTTTACGTAATGTGAAACAGTTGGCCGTACTGTTGTCACCCATTTTGTCGAGATCCTGCTGCCCCTGCCGTTCCTGCGATACCTCGGCAAATCCACCTTTGCTCAAATGAAGCTGCGCTGCACAGCTTGAAACTCGTTTTTCACCAGCAGGAATGCCATCAGCACTACATACATGCTCCATGCAAGGCTTCAGGTTTTTCCCTGCAAGTGTTGTCACTTTGGTATCTGGTGAGGTGAAACATGTTGTGCACCTAATTCACTTGAACTGGAACAGCTGTTTACTCCCCATGTGGTTTGATCGACAACGGTCCCGTTTGACGGAATGACGCGCGAACTTTTAGCCTTGAACTGAGTCCCATTTAAAACTTTGTTGCTTCACTCTTTATCACCAACTAGTTCCACATTCGGTCCCCTATTTCATGCGTTTTTCCTTCCCCAGTTAGGTTGGGTCCTGTGCGTGCCTAGGTAGGCGTAGGTTTCGCGGTGGTAGGTTGGTTCAGACGCTTCCGTCCTCTCCCCTCGCACCGCTGGTTTTTTTCGTGTCCGTCAGCCTCCGTTTTTCATTTTTCTTGCCCTTTCAGGGTTTGCCCGCTCCGGGCCAGGTGTGTTGGCGTGGGTGTTTGCTCTCTCCCTCGTCTTTTGCGTTCCCCTCCTCGTGCCCCGGTTAGGTAAAAGATTAAATTTCATTTTCACCTTCATATCATCTTCACTCCCCTCTCCATCTTCACTTCCACCTCATTGCAAGCAAACCAGGGTGTGTGTGTGTGAGACGTTTGAATAAACGTAAAACGTCGCGGCCGCCTCATCTTTATATTTTTTATTACAGCTGGGGATCGCCGAGGTCCCGGGGGGTCGGTGATCAACGAAGACACTTCCCCGGGACCCGTGTGCACGTACCTGCTGGGCTTTGGTGGTGCATCTGGACGCATTTAAGTCGCAGCTGGTGGCCACCATAGCCTATATATACATACATTCTTGTCATTTTGTTTAGTTTGTTTTTTTAAAATATATATTTATATATATATACATACACCTTTTGTAACTGCACGTGATGGGATTCAGTTCCCAACGGATCACTACAATGATCCAGTTCTTGTCCTGTGTGTGTGTGTGCATGTTCCTGTTGTCAGAATATGTAAATTGCAATTTTGGAACGAAACGTTGCAGACTTTGATTTGCGAAGGCAAGAACCGCAGTTAGGGAACCGGGCCTTCAAAAAAAAAAATCGTTTAGTAAGTAATTTGGTTCCTGGGAATTTTTCAAACATGATATGCAGGCAAGTTGTGGCTCAGACAATTCCAGGAGCGTTCAACAATATCGCATTTTGTTTACAACCCATGGCCCGTGCTTTGTGTTTGGGACTTGGGTTTTGGTTGGCGTCAGGCACTTCGGCAAATTGTCATGCGGAGGGATGTAAGTCTGCAGGAAAGATTTGAGATTTTCCAGCACCGCGTGATGGAAAATACAATGCCTGGGATCGTGCTAGTCTGCCAGCCCAGCTTCTGAACCACCATGTCTTTTGGAATGCCCGTTGTGGCAACCACGACAAAATATTCCCCAGGATATCAATATCATATCATGTAATATGACTTATATGTCATGTGTAGTGACGCTGCCCAAACGCCTAGGGTCATTCTTGAATTTCAAGCATACTATTACGTGGAATCGTGAATTTACTTCCAACAAAAAAATGCAGAATTGGTGTCAAACAATATGTACAGGACAATGTTCAATTGATGAAAATTTAACACTCTCCATGTTTCCCCAACATTTCGCTCTCAATCCATGGGGCCTTGGATTTAAAACGTGTTTTCCTATCGATGTGTCATTTATCAAGTGGAACCTGAACCTTTTTGGAACGGCTCCAGGCGAGGTGCACCCGGAGCGCGCCGCATTGCTCGCGGAGGTGCAACAGATACCGGGGCTCACCTGGACCCCGAGCCTCGTGGAACGTTTTGCGGCGGAAGCGCCGGGAAATTCCAAAAGCTACGGCGTCAAGGGCAACGTGTCCGAGGTCAGGATGCCATGATACGCCTTCCATTCGGGGATGCTTTACCCATTGTTGGTGATTTTGGAGATGGCTAGTGAATTTATTGTTGGGTTTGCCACATTGGATCAATAGTAGATCTCCGTTTGGGACTCCAAGATGAAAACCTGGAGCTGGAACCTGTTTTTTTAACCAAATTTCAGCCAAATTTTAGCCTCAAGAATGTTAGACCTCAGTTTTTTAGCTTTTGGTCCCCTTTTACATATTGTAGAACTTTGATTTTAAATAAACGATGAAACCAAAGGATTTCAGCCGAGGGAACACCTTTTCAGAGCATTTTTGCAATAAGTCGGGCGCGGGTTGTTTAAGCCATCGAAGTTTACTGAGAACAATTTTTGGCCTGAAGGTCGCACACAGGTTTTCATTCGACCGTGTCTTCTTGCAAGGCTCGACATTTTTGCCGCCTATACGGTGAACATTGAAATTTTGAGAGGTGTATCTTGGGAGGTTGGATGAGGATGGGTTTGCAAAATTGAGTCATTAGTCGTTTGTGGTGTATCTTGGGACGTTGGTACACGATGGGTTGGCCCACATGCGTGGTGTAACATGGCGAGCTGTTCCGGCAAAGTTCAAACCAGGGATGTGTGAGATGAAAATTTTCGGATCTGAAATTTGTAGTGTGTTCTTGGGATGTTGGTTCAGGATGGGTTGGCTCACATGCGTGGTGTAACATGGAGAGCTGCTCCGGCAAAGTTCAAAACAGATGTGTGAGATGAAAAATCATGCGGCCTGAGGTTTTGTGATGTATCTTTGGGAGGTAGGTTCAGGATGGGTTGGCACAAATGCGTGGTGTAACATGGCGAGCTGTTCCGGCAAAGTTCAAAACAGGGATGTGTGAGATGAAAATTTTCGGATCTGTTGGTTCAGGATGGGTTGGCACAAATGCGTGGTGTAACATGGAGAGCTGCAGGGATGTGTGAGATGAAAGTCGAAAGCCTAAGGATGCGAAATTTAATGGTGGATCCTTTTGGTTCAGGATGGGTTGGCACAAATGCGTGGTATACTATGGAGAGCGGTTACCTCAAAAAGTTGTTTTTCGATATGCCAACGTGGAAAACTTTGGCATTTGCTTTGCCAACAAGGCATTGGTACGATGTGGGGGCGGAAACTGGGTGCCGTTCTCTGGGGGAGCGCGCTGATTTTATAGTCTAATTTTTTTTTTGAAAACACGCTGAGCACTGCTGTTTTCATTTCTTGTGCCATTTGTATTTTTAATTTTCAACATACCCCAGAGACATTGAGTTTAATCTTTTGTACCTTGATTTTTCATTTTCAGACATAGGGGTGAAGTCGGCTTTTCATCGTTTCATTTTTTTTTCTCATACCTTCGCCCTCTAGGTTTTTAAACTAGGTGTTTGGGATGAAAACCTGGTGCTGGACCCTAAGTTGAACGCCCAACGGGGATATAGTACGATTAGTAGGTCAGTTACATTTGGTTGTTTATATCACCTCCAAATTGGAGGCGGTTTATTATTTTTTTGCTCGCATGATTTTGTTTTCTAGTAGTCAAACCTGGCGGTGGAACATATGTGACCAAATAGGTTGTCATGAAAAACAATGTATCAAAAATATCGGAAGAGGGGGGTTCTCCATTGCCAAAGGTTTCATTCATTGCCAGAGGGTAATGAAGTTACAATCAGAAATTGTTTCACGATATTGTTAAAGTTTGGCATCTTGAAATTTTGCCACTAGATAATCTAGTAATCTAGTACTAATTAGCCAGGATCTTTCAGAGGTGTGTGAGGGTAAGGGTTGATTGAACAAAAAATTGGAAGGCATGAAACACTATCCAAAAATGGGGTGGTTTATGGGTGCACTATCTTTTCATGGGTCGAACGTGAACAAAGTCCACAGATTTATGGCAATCACCAACATGGTTTACGCCGTACACGCACCTTCCGCAAATCTTGAACCTGCTGGGGAAAATTGTTCATTCCCATCCATTTAACATTTGTTTGAATCTTTCATCCAGTTACATCAGCTTTGTTCTGCAAGTTGCCTTATTTAAACTCTGGAGTTCCCCAACCCCAATTGTTTTTGATAACTGTAGTAGCCCCTCCAAAAAAAATGATGGACAAAAAGACCGTGTTAAAGAACATGTGTTATCACTACAACTTAAAACAACATAGGTTTGGATCGTACCAAATTCCACTTTTTTTGGAGGACCGGGGTTGCCATAGATCTTTACGGGCCTCCATGCCTCCATCAGGCCATCCAAAAGGCAATCCAGCGCGGGGATTTGGAGCGTGTGCTCTTCATCGACGACGGCGAACTCCCAGAAACCTTTGACTCGGCTCAACAGTGGCCGGAGTGCGCCAAGATGATCAATGACATTCGCAACTGGGGATAAAATGGGCACATTGGTATCTATCTATCTCTCTCTCTCTCTCTCTCTCTCTCTCTATTTAAAATATACATATGTATGTATGTGATGTATAACGTATAGAACTGCCATGTAGTATGCGTATTGTATTTTTGTATATTTATATAACATTGGTATATCAATGATATTGTATATCAAGTAGCATACCGTTAGAGTCAATGGGTACAGATATTCAACACACAGAAGATTTCAAGGTGAATCACCACCAAAATAGTAGGGAATTATTTTGTTGGACCTATGTATTTTCCATGTGTTTTATTTGTGAACAGGAGAGATAGACGAACTACTCAACGAAAAACGCAAAACCACGAACCACAAACGCGATCTAAAGTGCGACAGCGTTTTGATGCCCCACTGGTATGAATGTGATATGTTGATATATTTTGCTGATTGGGGTTGGCAGCTCCTTTTTTGTTAAACCGTAAATCCTGGGAGAGATCATATCACAGGTTTATATCTCGCTAACGCCTGGTGAGTTGATCCATTAGTTGATGCATGACGATTGGGTTCAGGTGACCAGTCCAACTGTGGCGCCTTGGCGGCAAACGAAACTGGGGACTCATGGAACTGGAACTGGATGATCCAACCCTTGAAACGACATGAAATGACCATAGTTTCATATACTTTCCATATATTTTTTTAAAATACCAAAGGTTGAAATCACAGGTTTGGGTTTGAACATGGGCCCAGTTAAGATGGCACACCAAAATTAAACAAAAACCACTTTGGGGCAAGAAATGGGTCCAAATTTGACCTTGGTACCGTGTGCAAAGGATCTGCCTGGAGCTGGATAAAGAACAAGAAATTGGTTCATCGACCATTGCAACGGATGGATGTTCGTTTTATCCCAATGTTTTGATGCTCCCATCCCCACTTTTGCTTTCAAAACGATGGACAAAAGGTCGATTTGGCGGCACAAAACACATCCCAAGGAACCTTCCTGCTGGTATCTTCCATATTTTGCCATTGTCAATTGATGTATCACAATTTTTTGTTATTTGCTAAGTTTCCTAGGTTGAAAAAGTCGATCCCCCTTGTTGTCGGCAGAAAATACACAGGTTTGTTTGAAAATTCCGAAAGCCCCCCTACATGATACTTTCAAAGGAAAAATGATGAGTAACCAATGGATTTAGAGAGGTATTCTATATGTATATATATATATAAATAGACACCTCCTCCAAGCAATTTCACCAACCTGAGGTTGCTGCTGGGCCTTCGCAGGTGCCGAAGCGGCCTCGGATCGCATGTGCATCGCCACCAAGGGAAAGACCATGGTGCTCATCTCGGCTCAGGATGCGACCTGGTCGGCTGTTCATCATTTTGATGGCAGTTTTTGTGGTTCTTGGCTACTTTGATGTTCTTAAAATCATTTGATGGTTATTTTAGTTGGGTGGAACATGCTTTTTGTTTTTGTCAGAAATTTCATGGCAATGTTGATGTGGAAAACACATAAACTGTCATTGAGACATGGGATGGAAGGTCCTAAACTGGAGGGAATCTTCCACTGGGAGGCCCAGCTTTGGAGTTTGTCTCATCTCTCCATGGAGATGCACAACCAAGGTGTGCTTCAACTCCAACCCGGATGGCTGTGATGGCGGCATGATCGACACCCCCTGGAGCTACATCAAGTCCACGGGCGCGGTCAGTGGTGGCCAATACCAGGGCACTGGACCCTTCGGCAAGGGCCTCTGCAGCGATTTTTCATTGCCTCACTGCCATCACCATGGGCCCCAGGGCAAAGATCCTTACCCCGCAGAGGGCAAGCCGGGATGCCCCTCAGAGTCGTCCCCAGCTGGGCCCACCAAGTGTGATTCCACGGCCAAGGCGCCACATGATGACTTTAAAAAGGACAAGTACAGCTACAACGGCAAGACCCAGACCGCATCTGGAGAGAAGGCCATTCAGCAGATGATCATGGCAGGTGGGCCAGTGGTATCCCCATGATTGTTGGTTGCACCCCCCTCTTCCCTAGACAAATCAGCTCCTCATCTATATCCATCAGTCCCACCTCTTGGCCATTTTTGTACCGTCAGGCGGCCCAGTGGAAACTGCCTTCACGGTGTACTCGGACTTTGAGCTGTACACCCACGGCATTTACAAGCACGTCTCTGGGTCAGCCGCTGGTGGGCATGCCGTGCGCATGGTTGGTTGGGGTGTGGAGAATGGCGTGAAGTACTGGAAGATTGCGAACTCTTGGAACCCGCAACTGGGTTTGGAATGGGAAGTGGGCTGGAAGTCGTGCGGAACCGATTTATCAAAAGCATCCTTCTTTGAGATGGGGCGTATGCCCTTTGACATCTTTGGTCAGGCATTTCGATCTATTTCAGGGGAGCTGAAATGTTGGACAAGTTGAACATTAGTCACTGAACATATCCCACCATCCAAGACTGACGATAAATAGTCTGCAAAATCATCTTACTTCAAAACCCATCCATACCATAGTTTCCGAACTCACCTAAAAAAAGGGCCATCTTGACCACCCAGGTACTGGGGCGAGAAGGGTTTCTTCCGCATCATCCGCGGCACCAACGAGGGTGGCATCGAGGATCAGGTGGTTGGCTCCTCTCCCAGCGCCACCTGGACCCATGGTGGACAGGGCGAGGCTCAGATCGTGGTCTGAGATGGTGATGTTGTGAACCCATGAAAATCTGGAGCCCATCGACCCAGCTATAAAAAACCATGGGGAAGTTGTTCTACCGAAAAGAGGAACTGGTTTTGAGAGATTTTGAGTTGGGTTCACTGCAATCCTAGAGGAACTGGTGGTGATTGGCCATTTACAGCTTCCAACTTGACATTTGTGAGCTTTTATGCTTCACAAAACTCCGTCTGACGCACTGATCAGATGACAAGAAAAGGGTGACTGATCAGATGATGGCTCTGGGCATTGAGGCGTTGTGTGTCAAGAAATCAGCGATCCAACAATCTACAGAGGATTCCCTGCAAGAATAGATTCTCTCCGCCTTGAAATTCAATCCGAAATCCTGCAGTTGTTCGGTGGGTGCAGCCGTTTAGACTCTGGAAGACAATAGCTTCAATTGCAGACGCTTCTCCACTCAAGGCTTAGTCACCCCAGCATTGATAGTTGACAAATCAACTCCAAGATGACCAAAAAGCAACATGCAACACCCAAAGAAAGGATTCGGAAGATTTTTTCCGCCTACCAAATCTGCCAATATCTGCATTTGGGCGGGTTCCATTTTTTTTCGGGGCAAATCTTCCAATCCAAACCAGCCAGTCCAGCTCAACCACAGCAGCTCGCAGAGCTCGACCAATGCCATGGCACCGCGCGTGTCCCGAAGGGTTGGAGATCCGGCCCTGCGACGCGGCGAAGGGCAATGGGCTCTTCACCACAAGGGCTTTGGAGGAGGACTTGGCAAGAGCAATTTTTGGACGGTGAATTGAACAATCAGAAACGGGCATATTACATATATATATATTATATCATATATATATATATATCATATGTATATATATATATATGTATAATTAAAGGATATCTTGGGGAAGCTTAGACTTTAGAATTTGGTAGGTGAATAGCCTTTAAAAGGAACGAGGTCATGTAGGTTCCGGGTTCATGCAGACGTTTGGATGTTGCTCGCTTCAGATGTTCAATCTTCAGATTGCAAGGCAAGGGTCGCATGATTCGTTGTTCTGGTGATGTCACACAAGCTACCCAACCAGCCCCCGGTTCCTGTAGATATTGTTTTGAACCCCCATGGTGTGACCGTCTCCTGGTTTTGATGGAACCTCCATTGTAGATGTGGCCTTAGCAATGCGTTTCACCAGGGCCAACAGCTTTTCGAAGAAGATCCCGTCTGCGGCATGGCTCTGCTGATGTTTGACCAGACCAATGTGACATGCCATTGCCAGCACTGCATGAAGTACGTCGAAGAAGGCACTGGTGGTTGGGCCCTTGCCGCTACACAGAGGCCCTTTGTAATCCTTTGTATGCACGTCAATTAGGGAGATTCCGACCAATTAAGTTGAAAATTGAAACGGGACTTGTCCCTGTGGTGAGCAACTAAAGAGATGGAGAGCAGGGAAGAATCTTTGCTTTGAGAGGAGAGAAACGTGGGAAAGACAATACTATCCGATAGTCAAACGTGGCATGGAACATCTCTAAAAATGGAGATTTTAGTGGGAAAATCAGCTATAAATGGAGGTCTTAATGGGAACATCATCTAAAAATGGCGGTTTCAATGGGAAAATCATGTAAAAATAGGTAAGTCACATTTGTTCTCTCCATTGTTCAGCCGACCCTTTCGGCTGCAGGCGAAGCATCGCTGGTGCTTTGTGCCTTGGGGTGCGGAGCTTGGTACTGTTCGGAGGCGGCTCGACCTTAGCTGACCCCCTTAGGCAACCTTTTTTTATGTGTGCGCATGGAAACACCCAAGAAACACCCAACAAGATACAAGAGTCAAAACCTACGAAAGTAGTGGCAAATCACTTGGTACCTATCTTTCTGCGAGGTACTATGTACCTACAGTAGAGGCGAACTTTTTGCCTTCCACAATGAGATTGGTCCAAGACAGGTTGCAAGACTTGGTAGGACACGTGAGCCAGTGAGTTTGCATGTTTTTGGTTCATAGGGTGATAGTAATAAACCCTATTAAATGTAAGATTCTCAACTTGGGGGCCATATCCATCAATCATTGCAGGGTGGTTATATAGTTTCCCAATTTTTTCCGCTGGCCCCAGCGATTCCCCGTTTAGGTGTTGCAGGGGGAGGGGCTCCAAATAGCTTTGCACCCGGGGAGGCGTGCAGGGAGGACGCCTTCGTAGCACATCATTCTGTGCTGTGTTCCTCCTCGAACCCCCGCTGGGCCGACTACGAGCAACAGGCGTAAGGATGCCCAGCCCCAACGCAGCATCAACCAAATAGAGACCAAGTTGAGGCAAGAATGCGGAGCGGTTTTCATATTTGTTTGATTAAAAAAAAACCAAACAAGCCGATACAGCTCGAGCGTCCAGCTGAGGCGCGAATGTTGCAATGAGTACTACGTCCTGGCCGCCCGGGCGCTGGCTACCTTAACCTCGGAGTTTTCCGTTGAGCAAGATCTCTGGTACCTTGGGTGGGTGGGTTGAAGGGTCGCGGTTGGGTGTTGCAAATGGGGGGTACGGGGCAACACTGGGTACCCCCTAGAAGCTTGGAAAATGTGGTAGACTCAATGCCACAAACAATCCGCCAAAACCCATCTATAAACCATCCCCAACTGATAGTTTCTTTAGTCTTGGTTTCCCACATTAGTGACTAAGTGTGTATATATTTTGGTTCAAAAAATATTGGGTGTTAGAAATGGGTCTGGGTCAAAATGGGCTACTTTTGGCTGGACCAAATCAGATGCGGTGTGGATCTCGATTTTTTACGCCCCACACTGCAGGGCCCAAAGTCCTTGGTCCGGCTACGCTTCGCCCTGCTGGTGGGAGACCATGAAGAGACCCATCTACGAGGTCACTTTGGGCTTCGAGAAGGTGTTGTTTCGGTAGGGTACCACGAAAAGATTAACATATTCAGTTCATAGGTGCAATAGGACAAGTGGGACATGGGCTGGTATGCCATTGGAATTTGTGATGGGTGTGCTGATACCGTTGAGATGCTTGACTTCAATCTGCCTATGGAAAAGCATGCAGGTGCTGGCTGCTCCAAGGGTTCTGCAATCCACAAAAGTTGCAGGAAAAAATGCACAGTTAAGCGCTTTCACTTAATATCAAGATACCACTAATACCAGCCAGAAACGTTAGTTTGGTGCTGGATCTATTCATCTTGGGTGGCCCTCAGGATTCCGACTCCGACAGTTCGGGTCCAGCCTTTGACTCAGAGGATGAGGTGCGGCAGTGCAGGTGTTCCCCATTAACATCCATTATGTATATATATATATATTATATAGATTATATAGATTATAGAAGATGTCTAGCATAATGTGGAAACCCTCTGCCACAAACCTACCATTTGAGGATGGTTGGAATCCCACCCATCTTTTGATGGCATTGGGTTTACCACATCAAATCCTAGTGAACCTAGGCACAAGCAAACTTAGCTAGCTATGAGGCCACCACTTTGCGGAGATGTCTCAAGATTGGGGTGCCCAACCATGGATGATGTTTCCTGACCAAAACAAGACATGATCACTGAGAACCATGGATCAAGTTCCGAAATTGTCATCCCGAATTTTTTTTACATGGCTCCTGCGTCAAGAGGAAACCACTGGCACCGGGATCCGCTGGGAGCTCAGGAGTCCTTGGATCGTTTCTTCCAATCCACGGTGCGCAGCCAAACCTCCGAGATGGGCGACGTGTTGCTGTCGGTCTTGGAGGGAAAGACCTGCATCGTGGCTGAAAACGAAAGGTGGACATCATGGACATCATGGACATTATGTCATAAATTGGTATCTCTCCTTCTTTGACCCGCACTTGATTCAGAAACGTACACGTACAAATAAATCAATAAATAGATAAAATGAATAAATAAATAAATGCATAAATGTATATTGTATATACATAAAAATAGTATGCATATATATATATATATATGTATATATATATATATATATTGTGAGTGCCTCACTTTGCCTTGTCAGGTTGGAACTTGATCAATCTTCGAACCATAGGCTCTGGCTCAGGGCAGCAGGTTCGCGGGTGGGTGGGCTTAAGAGAGCCTTTTGCCATAGGTGTGACAGGGTTCACACGTTCGTTGCCTGGGTGTGGTCACCCGATCAGTGCTGGTGGATTTGGCTGTGGACAGCCTTTTGAACAGTCTGCTTGGCGAAAACAGCAGAGAGCTTATCACAGGGAATTGTTGGTGTGGCGTGGATTTGCAGTAGTGGTTACCACCAATTTTCACACCGGAGGTTGGTAACCATTTTTACAGACGGATCCCATTTTGTTGGTTTGGACCATTGAGATCAAAGAGACCATCTTCATTCCTTTTCAGTTGCATCATCTCAGAGTTCTTGCTGCCATTCATACTGGTAGCGGAGCTCCAGTGAAGGAGCATCCAGGGGTTCAATGACAACTGCAGCAGAATCGACCGGCGCTGTGGGGGTCAGCAATCAGCTGGCATCTCTGGTTCCTTCATTTGACCCTTCAAAGGATGACATGGTACAGTATCAGCAGCGTGTTGAGTTGGTCATGGCGGCCTGGCCCAAGACGAAGATCACTGAGCTGGTCACCCGCCTCATACTCAACTGCCAAGGCTCGGCATTTGCGAAGCTGCAGCTGCACCAGTCGGAGCTTCTGACCGGCGAGGAATCTTCGGTGAAGCGGCTGATTGAGATCCTAGGGGGTCAGTGGGGAAGAATCCCTTTGGAGAAACAGTACCAGGAGGCGGAGGAAGCCATTTTCCATACCATACAGCGAGCAGATGAGTCGAATGACAGTTTTCTGGCAAGGTCAGACGTCATGTGGAGCAAACTTCTGGCTCGAAAACTGACGTTGGAAAGCCTGCAGGCTTACATCACCTTGCGGGGTTCCTGCTTGTCGGCCGAGGACAAAAAGCGTGTGGTAATGGAAAGTGAGGCTGAGGGATCACTGACGATGAAGAAAGTCAGTGAAGCCATCCGTTTACTTGGTGCTGCATTCTTTCATGATGTCACTGGTTTGAAGAAAGGTGCAAAGACGAAGGTGTATGATCAGACAGTACTTGTGAGTGAAACCCATGATGATCCTTATGAAAATGAAGATCCCCCTCATATGCCTGAAGAGATGTTGAATGATGAGCATTTGGAAGCTTTAGCAGCCGAAGGTGACGCTGATGCTGCGTTGATTCTGGACTTCGAACAAGCCGCTCAGGATACGGTTCAGGAAGACCAAGATCTGGCAGTGGCAATGGTGTCCTATCAACAGGCACGTCATCGACTGCAGGAGCGCTTCAAGAATCGAGGCTTCTTTCCAGCTCGTCCTTTCCCAAGTGCTGGCAAGGGGAAGGGGTCGTTCAACAAAGGATTTGGGAAGGGCAAGGGGAGCAATTCATGGGACAATCGACCAAAACGGTCACTCCAAGATCGAATCATGAACAGTTCATGCCGTCTCTGTGGGCAACGTGGCCACTGGAAGGCAGAGTGCCCTATGCGTGGCACTTCAACAGGTTCAGCACCTTCGACATCCGGTGGTAACACAGCACCCACCACAACTGTGATAGCTGATTCAGAAGCCATGGACAGCTTGCCACTCGAGTTCGTGAATCTCCCTGATGATTTGATGCCATCTCTTGACATAGATCATGAACCTCAGGTTGTTTCAGCCGTCAGTTTTGTAAGTTTTGCGTCTATGAGATATCCTAGGATGAGTCACCAAGGTTGTATTCCGGGGGAATATGTAGGTCAACATCCCAGGGTGGGGACTAGTGATCATAGACTAACAGCCCATGAACGGCTCCACCGCCGTCTGAGGAGTAGTGCCCGGTCCAGTGATGCGCATCCGATTCCGTGTACAGATCATCCAGTGCCTGAGCCGTTTTGCCAATCGCATTTTGCGAAGGATGTCAAAAGAACATCCATCAGATCCAACACCATTCCAATCATGTCAGCCAGCCAGGACGTGCAGTGTGCTCTGTTTGCAACCCATGGCACTCACGGTGTTTTTAGACTTAGGAGCATCGAAGACGGTGATTGGATCCAATCATGTTGCCGATCTTTTGAATGGCTTGGACCCTGCAATCAAAGAGAAGGTCACCAAAACCAGTTGTGACATTACTTTCAAGTTTGGCAATGAGGGAGTTCTCCATAGTAGCTATGCAATTGTTCTGCCGATTGGTCGTCTCAAGTTGAAAGTAGCCATTGTGAAGGGAGGTTCCCCGCTTCTGTTGTCGAATTCTCTGATGAGAGCACTCCGAGCCAGGATTGACTGCGAAAACCGTTGCCTCATCAGCCCACTGCTGGATTGTGAAGTTCCATTAAAGCTCACTTCTCGGGGTTTGTTTCTCATTGATGTGAACAGCTTGGCAGTGGCAGCTAGGCCAACCTTGGAACAATCCGTAGGTGAGCCCACGCAGATTCATCAGACCTTTGTGACCGTCCGCCAGAAGGAAAAGATAGCAGGATCAGTGCCAGTTCAGCAGGATCAATATCAATCACCATCACCTCTTCAGGTGCCATCCATTCAGTGAGTCCAAGGGAGAGCCACATGACACTCTCAACGTTCATGCGACCCAACCTGAAACCATGGTAGCTGTGCTGAAGTCTCAAAGTCATCCAAGTCCCAGTGAATCCACCGAGTGTCCAACCCTTCCGGCCGTAGACCATGTCGCTGAGCAAGAGGTTGAAGGATCTCCAGGAACGAGACAGCGGAGAATTGAAAGACATCTCCCATCTCACCCTGACGGACCTCCAGGACCAGAAGGTGCAGTTCGGGCAGAAGCATCTGGGACGCCCCTTTCATCAAGTTTGGGAGGAAGATCAAGAGTGGATCTCGTTCATAGCCAGCAAGTATGCCGAGTCCACCAAGATGTCTCACCGGTTGATCGTTCGGTACATAACTCTTCGTGTGGAACAACACGAACGCAGTCAAACACCGATTCGTGTTGCCCCACCGGCCGAGTCCCAAGCTGCGTCCAGCCAGCTGCCCATGAGTCTCCGTCCCGTTCCCAAGATCAAGGCCAAGCCAAAGGCGGCCAGCCAGATCCCTCACTCCGAGATCGTGCATTTGCCAGACATGGAGGCAGAAGAGGAAGAGTGGAATGTAGGGACGTACCAGAGTGGATATACGGAACCAACCCCCATGAATGCCGACATGATGGCCATGCAGACTCGCATGTTGCATCTCGAGAATGCATTGACCCAAGTGATCCAGCACATGGAACACCAAGCGGGCATCCATCAGCCAGTGCCCGAGGACCAGGAAGGAGCGTGATCAATGAGGATCAGTCATGCCCTTCCGACTCAAGTGTGCACCCTGATGTCAAGAGGTTACAATCACTGATTCGCCAATGTGAAAAGGAACTTGATGCCGCAATGTCCCAACACCATCCAATTGGTAGGCCATTTGTACTTGGGGAAGTGTTTTGCAGCCAACAATCACCCGTGACACATCAGGTGCAACAACTTGGAGGGTCAGCGTTCCGATTCGGTTTGACACAGGGAGACTTGTCCACACCATCAGGTAGACATGCTTTGTTCAAACTGTTGATTGTTCACCAGCCACGTAACATATGGTACTCACCAGTATGTGGTCCATGGTCCAGATGGTCTCAGTTCAACTCAGCGAGGTCTGTCCAGAGCTTAGAAGAGCATTTGCAGAAGAGGGAACAGTTGTTGTATCAAATCGCCTTGGGTATTGTGTTGTATCGTCATCAAATCATGCATGGACGACACTTCCATTGGGAGCAACCTTCTAAATCACTGATGTTTTCTCAACCTGGTATTTCGGAAATCCACCAATTTACCCAAATGTGTGAATTCGACTTGTGTGAAGTCGGAGGGTTGAAGGACCCGGAAAATGGACTTGCCATGCGAAAACGCCTGGTGGTGGTGACGACTAGCCCAGCTATGTTCCAAGCATTGCATGGCCGAACGTGTCGAAAACAGCATGCACATCAGGTGATAGAGGGTCAAACACATGTTGATGGACAACTGGTTCGAAGGTCGGTGTTTTCTGAAGTGTACCCCCGAAAATTTGCGAGGTTGATAGCTAATGTGATGTGCAAATCGCCACGCCAATGGCCATTTCAGTGGAGCTCCGGACTGATTGCACTCTCCCAGTGCCAAGTGGGGGAACCTACCCTGGTGTCAAATCCCGCGGGTAGGGTGATCAACAGCCAAAGCCGCAAGGCCAATTTTGCACTGACAGAAATCGTGCATCCGATCCCAAAGGCAGAACAGTTGGTCAAACGCAGAAGACTTGGTCACAAACAGTATGTTGAACCTTGTTTGGAAGATTGCCAAGAAATAATTTCCAGAATCAACAAAATTGTCCCTCGAGTTGGAAAGCATGAAATCACACAATCCGATATACTCACACCACTTCAAGGGATGTTCAATGATATGCAGCTGATTAGTGTAGTGGCATGTCGAGGAATGGACAGGACCATGGCCCCTTTAAGCCATATCCATGCCGCTGAAGCCCCATTCAGAAAATCTCTAATGATCCTCCGGCCATCAAGTCACGTGGCATTTGAAAAGCATTGGGAGAAGTTTGATCAATTATCCCATCGACAGCTGGTCAGGCCATCTCATGCATGTCGATTGAACATCACAATGTTTGCTTGCCGTAGGGATGATGCTTTCAAAGTGAACACACCAGGAACATCATCCAACCCTCCAGAAGAACCCAGTCGTGATGCTAGAAGTGAGCCAAGCACTGCACCTCAGCCGATGGTAGAGGAATCGACCAGCAGTTCATCTGATAGTTGGCAGCCACACTCGCACCACGACTCTGCAGTCCGATTGCCAGCTGGCGAAGACCAGCAGGCCAAAGATTCATCACCAGCAGGCTTTGATGAAGAGACAATGTCAGGTCCCCTACGGGAACAAACGTCACGTTTCTGCAGCCTACCCAAGTGGGAACAGAATCAGATCAAACTGATGCACCGTAACCTTGGACATCCAAGTAATGAACGGTTAGCCAAAGCCTTGCAATCGATGGGTCAGCGTGCTGAGGTAGTCAATGCTGCCAGAGAACTCCGTTGCTCAGTATGTGCCACTCATGTTGCCCCAAAACATCAGCGCCCGGGAAGTTTGAAGCCCATGTTGGATTTCAATCACAAGGTGTACATGGATGGGATCTCATGGACCAACAGCCAAGGAAAGACTTTTCATTTCTATCACATGTTGGATGCAGGTACACATTTTCATGTCGCAGTTGCAGCCCCTTCACGCCTTGGTAGTGATGTAGTTCATTTGGTTAATCAACATTGGGTCTCATGGGCAGGTGCGCCACAGCACCTTGTAGTGGATTCAGCAACGGAACTCAATGGAGAGGAATTCACCACGTTTTGTCAGCGTTTTGGTATTAATACCACTACCACTTGCCCTGAAGCCCACTGGCAAAACGGAAAGATCGAACGACATGGCATGTTTCTCCAAGAGATGATTACCAAAGTCGATACAGAGATTCCTGTAAATAACTATCAAGATCTTCAAACTACCCTGAACTTATGCATTCAATCCCAAAATATGCTGAGTATCAAACATGGGTATGCTCCTGAAATCATCGTGTTTGGAAAACAAAGTCGGCTTCCTGGATCCATACTCAGTGATGAATCAATTCCTAGCCATATGACAGCTATCCAAGAACTTGAACAAGATGCAGTTGGTGGTTTTAGGAAACATTTGCAAATCAGAGAGTGTGCACGCAGAGCATTTCATGTTGCCGACAATTCAGACGCCATCCGTCGTGCTGTGCTCCGAAAGTCATGCCCTTCGAGAGGTCAGTTTCAACAAGGTCAATGGGTCATGGTGTGGAGAACACAGTCCCGTGATAAACCTAGTTGGATTGGTCCCCATCATGTAGTCCTTCAAGATAGTAACCACACTGTGTGGACGACCCAAGGTGGCCGACTTTTTCGCAGCGCACCGGAACACGTTAGGAGATCACTGCCAGCGGAGGGTGAACCCGAGGGTCCCGAACTCCCCAGTGACCTTACTCATATCCAGAACCAAATCGACAGAATGAATCAACTTCCCACGATTGATGAACATGTCCCATTGGAAAACATTGAGGAGCCCATCGAGTCACCAGCCCACATGCCAGAACCAGCGGTGGCCCGAGAACGCCTTGGGAGCACAGCCGAATCACTTGCACAGCCAGATCAGGAGCCAGAAATTAATAGTCACCAGCCATCCATCAATTCTCAAGAATCTGGATCCGATTCAGAACAGACCACAGTTCAACTTTTGTGCATCGATGATGATGATGAAGTTTATTTTTCAACTGAGCACCCTGATTTTGCGTTTCGCTGTGAATTCGATGTGCCTGCTCATGCCGTGCCCAAAGATGCCAATGCGGAGAGTGATCAAGTTGCATGGACTCTGCTGTCCAGCGGCAGTGCCAAACAACGCACCGAAGTAAAAATGTCAGAACTCACCCCTCAAGAAAAGACTCTTTTTGAACAAGCCAAACGAAAGGAAATTGCCAATTGGATCCAAACCAATACCATCACCAAAGTTTTGAAGAATCAGATTCCACCCGAACAGGTCATGCGCAGCCGATGGATTTTAACCTGGAAGCCACTAGATGATGTCAATCAAGATGAGATTTCCCAAAGGTGCTCTAGTAAGACCCATAAACCCAAGGCACGTCTAGTTGTCCTAGGATACCAAGACCCCAAGATAGATGAAATCCCCAGAGATAGTCCCACCCTTGGTAAGACAGCTCGCATGATCATCCTCCAAGCCATCGCCTCACATGGATGGCAACTAATGTCATTCGACATCAAGGCGGCGTTTCTTCAGGGTCGACCACAATCCGACCGCATCATGGGCTTAGATCCAGTTCCAGAGCTGCGGCGAGCCATGGGTATGCAACCCCATGAAATAGGCAAGCTCAACAAAAGTGCATACGGATTAATCGACGCCCCATACTTGTGGTATTGTGCTTTGGTTTCTGAACTGACGTCACTAGGAATGGAGGTAAGCCCCTTTTGTCCTTGCACATTCGTACTTCGTGATAAAACTAATCCCCAAAAATTATCTGGTGTACTTGGCATTCACGTTGATGATGGAGTTTGCGGGGGCAATCAGGAATTCCAAGAGCTTATCAAGAAACTTGAAGAAAAGTATCCATTCGGTTCAAAGAAATTGGGATCCTTCACTTTCACGGGTATTGACCTCACCCAAATGGAAGATTATAGTATAATCTTGAGCCAATCCCAGTATGTGAGAAAGATTAAACCTATCCCAATTGACAGTCAAAGAAAGTTTCAGGTAGAGGCCGATGTCACGGAATCAGAGCGAGGACACCTACGTGGACTCGTAGGTTCCCTCCAATATGCAGCAGTGAACACACGACCTGACCTATCCAGTAGACTATCCATGTTGCAATCATCAATCAACAAAGCCAAAATCGAAACACTCCTAGAAGGGAATCGTTTACTGCATGAGGCAAAGAAACATCATGATGTGACCATTCGAATCAGACCCATACCTGTTGAAGATTTTCGGTTCATGGCATTTTCCGACGCTTCATTCGCATCCCAAAGAAAGCCCGATTCACACACAGGTCTAGTCATTGTTGGCACCCACAAGTCTATTTGTGAGAATATCCAGTGTCCTATCAGCCCGATCACATGGGGTTCCAAGAAAATTCAGAAGGTAGTGACGAGCACCCTAGCGGCAGAGACAGTGTCCCTTGCTGCAGCACTAGACCAACTTGGATGGCTTCGCCTGTTTTGGGGATGGCTCCATAATCCTGACACGAATTGGCGTAATCCTGAGGAATCCCTTTTAAAGATTGAGCCTGCCATCTCAGTACCAACGCTGCCTGAATTTTCCGACTTGGCAGTCACTGATTGCAAGAGTTTATACGACCTAGTAACAAGGACAGCACCACCGTCATGCACGGAATTTAGAACACAACTCATGGCCCGATCCATAAAAGAATCCCTCAAGGAGGGTATCCAACTAAGATGGGTCCATGGTGGTGCCCAACTGGCTGACGCACTGACAAAGATAATGCAAGCCAACTTTCTCAGAGCCACTCTCAAAATAGGATACTACAGATTGCATGACGAAGACTCCATTCTCAGGAGCCGTGCCCAGACCCGCGATCGAATCAAATGGCTTAAGGAAAGCCCATCAGATCCGCTTTTGAACCAAGATTGATCAACAGAATGTTTTTGACGAGTGTGAGTGCCTCACTTTGCCTTGTCAGGTTGGAACCTTGATCAATCTTCGAACCATAGGCTCTGGCTCAGGGCAGCAGGTTCGCGGGTGGGTGGGCTTAAGAGAGCCTTTTGCCATAGGTGTGACAGGGTTCACACGTTCGTTGCCTGGGTGTGGTCACCCGATCAGTGCTGGTGGATTTGGCTGTGGACAGCCTTTTGAACAGTCTGCTTGGCGAAAACAGCAGAGAGCTTATCACAGGGAATTGTTGGTGTGGCGTGGATTTGCAGTAGTGGTTACCACCAATTTTCACACCGGAGGTTGGTAACCATTTTTACAGACGGATCCCATTTTGTTGGTTTGGACCATTGAGATCAAAGAGACCATCTTCATTCCTTTTCAGTTGCATCATCTCAGAGTTCTTGCTGCCATTCATAATATATATGTATATATATATATGTACGTATATATATATATATGTATGTATATAAACATGTACAAACAAAAATAACACACACAAAACTCCGTTTTTCAGTGAGGTGACCTCGCAGAGGCGTTGTTGCGCTCGGGTCCCGAAGCCCTGGGGCGGCTGATGGGTTTACTGCGGGTGAACGCCATGGCACTGCACGCCCAGGTGGAAATCGAAATGTGGAAATGTGGTGGAAACAATGGCAAATGACCAGGTCAAAATAGGTCAAAATGAGGAGGTTCATGGGATTTGGGAGAGATATTGAGATATTGGTTTCCGAAGTTCTTTTTCGTGTTGTTGTTTCCTTTTTCATGGGATTTCACCAGCTACCGTGTTTTTGTTGATGTCTGTTTTCTGTTTGGGGTGTGCTCTCGATGGTGACGGCGCCCATCATGAAGCTTGAGTGATTTTGTGTGGAAACAATGGAACATCATTTGCAAATGGTGGAATATTTATGTTGTCTTTTTTACTATAGGTAATGTCAACGCAGGATAAGCAAGACCCGTTTGACTAACTATGGGGTTCCCGCCAAACAGAGCTCATTTGCTACTTAAACGCGACCCCGTAATGAAGCAGCCTGGGGGGGTTCTTACTCTGGAGGCGACATTATAAATTGCGAGTGTCATGGTGCGACGGTGAGACTGTTGAACCTTGTTTGTGACTCGATGTCCTTGGGGGACTCATGAAATTTCCAGGTGGCCAGCGGAGATGGAGATGCTGAAGATGTAGCCAAAGGCATGGCAATATACAGTGCCCCTCAGTCGCAAGAGGTTGTGGGGGAACTGCTCTGATGGTCGCCGTGTGAGGTTTGTCCAGGTTTGCCTATGTCTCCATCCCATTTGTTGATGTAGATCAATCATAACCGCCCGGCCGCTTCTGTTTGACCAGGTCACTTCCGCCATGAACCACGACCCTGCAGCCAACTGTCCCTTAGCTCAGCATCCAACACCTCCATGGAACTGACAATTTTTGGATGACCACTCTGGAGGTCAAACACAAGGTCCCATCTTGGACATGTTGCTGAATCGGACATTTATGGTCATTCTGTTCTGTATCTAGAATCTATATCCAATGGAGATTTGGAGTTGACAAGTTGGCCCTGAGGCTTTGTTTCCAGCGACCCGGCCTATCCGCAGCGGTGTTTGGTGCGAACCCTCCGGCCGATTGAGCCCGAGGAGGAGCTTCTTGGCCGAAGATGGCCCTTCAGATGGGCCGAAGATGGGCCGTCCATTTTGGATCTTGGAAATTTGGAAACTGCTCAACCCCCTCTCCGGGTCATGGGGCTTCCTTGGCCCTTCAGATGATGAAGATGGGCCGAAGATTCGTCCATTTTGGACCTTGGAAACGGTTCAACCCCCTCTGCGGGTCGGCTTCCCAGGCTATGCATTGATTACCTGCAGGGATCGCCCTACAGCCTGGAGCAGAGGACCCAGGTGCTGCTGCAGCAGTATGGCATCGTGGCTTGAAGCGGATTCAGCCTACTTGGTGAGGAACTGGTGAGTTGGAGTCACTAGTTAGGAGATATGACTCAGACCCAGTTGTTCTTGGGATCATCCAAATGAGGGGCCTTACCATCAAGGGTTATAAACAAGGGTTATATCATATATATCATATCATATCTATATTTATCATTTACTTTTTTCTTGTTTTCGCATTTTTAGCGCGTTACAACAACAGATGCCAAGTGGGCTGATTCTCCAAGTAGCATCAGTCGATTTTGAGGCAGCACGAAGACCCAATCATCAAAAAGTGATGGGAAAAAGGGATGGGCAGAAAGGAAGCTCACCGCCGGCGAGTGGCTGTCCGAGGTTCGCATGAAAGTGACATTTGCACATGATGCTGGGGGAACCAACTGTTTTTTTGGCGGTGAATTTTGAAACGAAACCACCACAAACCTTCCCAATGTTGGGGTATCCAATCTTGACCCATGCTGAAAAATGACACGCTTCGTTCCTTCGGTTGGACTCCAAGCATGGCCTCAATCTCAATGGACCGCAGCTTTGAGATCAAGATTAAGATGGCATCAGGTGCCATCTCAGGCTTTTTGGGCGCAGGATTTGAGATCCTCGCATGGTACCAAAGTCACAGGTGCAGAAGTTGTAAAGATGAAAAACCAAGCAATCAAGTTCGCATGGTCGAGAAGTAGCTCCCCCGATTTCCACTTTGCCCCCCCCACATTTGCATTTTCCCTTGATATCAACATGCGCTATTTGGGCGATGAAGGGTGGGGGCCTCAGACACCCACAAGCATCCAGAGATTCAGTGGGCCGTTTCAAGCCCCTGCAGGGCCACTGCGACCGAAATGTCGTGGGGCGTCCTGGGGGTGGTGACTGTCTGAAGGGAGTCCTAGTTGGGATGTTGAGAATCTGTGCTATGGCGAATCTTTTGAATATAATGTGGCAAACTCAATGCCATGAACCGACCCACATAGCCAGGCACCACAAGCATCATCACCTTTCTAGCTTTGGCCGCTTGTAGTTGGCTGATGCTATGCACTGATAGCCCAATTTCTGCCGCTGGAGTTATGCCAAGGTTGGGCTACAGCGTCGCTACACCCAGATGGTTGGTCAACTGCATTTGGACAGCTATCCTCAGCGACAACGGCCTCATGACCAGTGGCTAGCTACCTGTCCTTCCCTTGCCCAAGCCTCTGCCTCTTGGGTGCCATCCCCATTTGTTGTGGATATGGTTGTGGCCCATTCACCCTTTTTCAGTCAATGGATTGATATTCGAGAACATGTGCAGGAAACCATGGCAATTGCCCCCATCTTTATTTTGGTGTCCGGTTAATTTTCCCTTGATTCAGTTCTTGGTACACCTCAGTGTTGGTGGCAACCTCCCAGGTTTTTATGGACCTCACATTTTTTGCTCATCCATCTTTTTTTTCCTCTCTCTCTCTCTCTATGTATGATATTATGCCATATTATGCCTGATTCATTTGTTCACACAAATCCATCCTTTTTATAGATCTCATGTTTTCCCTTCATTATTTGGGTGTGTCTGAAAATGTTGTGTACCCCTAAACCCAATGGTTAATGATCATTATCCCTATTAAATGGCTATTTCATTGGGAATATACCCTATTTTCAGACAAACCCATTTCCATATTTTCCCACTTTGCAGCGCTTGGCTTCCGACCCCGCGCCTCAAGTCGCAGGCGGCTCCTTTCGACTGAGTTTTTCCAAGGAACCAGCACCGGAACTAGGCGAGGATTTTGAAAACTCAGCCGTGGGGCTCAAACGTACCAGCCCCTTGCGGCTGTATCAACCGATTGAGCCCAGTAGGTCACCCTTTTCGTTACGTTTGGTCGTTGGGAACATTTCCCTATCCCTTTTCGTACCATGGAGTTTTCGAAGCGTCTCATAACCGCTGGGAAATGGAAAGGACATGTTGATTATGAACCATCTATTTGGCCGCTGGGAAATGGAGAGCGATGCGACATTGTTGCGAAGGTGGTCATCAGAGATGATGCAACCGACGGAGGACATTGGTGTCAAGGTTTGATTTCTGGCCAGCGATTTCGCCTTGTAGCCGAACTTCCTACAGATGTTGGATGCCCTAAGGTGACTATCCTTAATGCTGCGAAAACCTACTATAGGTGGCCAATGCTGGTGATCGACAAGAAAGCAGAGTTGTTGATTCATCCCCAGGAGAATCAAGCACACATGGCGGAGCTCATCGAAACTTGCTCAGGACTAGGTGGTATTGCTTGTGGTGCTGCATATGCAGGCTGGACCCTCCGAGCACAAAACGATATTAATCCCAATTTTGTAAAGATCCAACAGCAAGTCAACTCTGTCCCGATCGTAGAAGGAGACATTGGTGATATGCACACAGTTGCGTCTTTGCATCGCGCATATGCGCAAGCTGGCACCATTGCCTTCGGATTCGCATGTCAGCCGTATAGTACGGCTGGAGACAGGAGAGAGGGCATGGATCCTCGTGCTGAAAGCTTGCCGGCTAGCCTCTATGCCGCCCATCTGCTTCAGAAGGACATTGTAGTTTGCGAATGTGTTCCAGGGGCTGCTACATCCAAGTATGTGTTAGCTTGCTTAGACTACCACATGGAGATGACCGCCAGTGATAGAAGTGAAATTCTGTTGGAGCTTGCTGACCTGTGGCCTTCCAAAAGGAGACGCTGGTGGACTGTGATCGTCAAACAATATATAGGAAGGGTTCAACTCCAACCTATGCCAAAGTTAGACATGGATGTGTCCGTATCATGTGTGCTTCCACAGTTCATGACCCTCCCAGCAGACGAGCTAGATGCACTTCTCCTTACTGCCGAAGAAAGAAAGGGTTTTGCTTCATATGGTAAAGGTATAGGAGCCAATTTAGTTGATAAAAATCAGCCCATGGCCACCGCTCTGCATTCATGGGGAAACCAATTGATAGCGTGTAGCTGCGGATGTCGAGGACCTTTCAGCCACGATCGCCTGTTGAAGAATGGCTTGTTTGGAGCCCTCGTCCATGTGCCAGGGATGACGCCTGATCGAAATTTGCGCCACATCTCTCCCAAAGAGGTAGCATTGTTAACAGGCTTTCCAAGGAAAGAAGGATGGGATGTAAATCCAAGATTACTGTTGGCTGGATTAGGACAAGTGGCTTCCCCATTACAGGCCGCTTGGATCTTTGCTATGATCAGACATCATTTGGTTGACTCAAAAATCATCCCGGGTCCTTTCATGTCACCCAAGGAAATCTTAACCTGTGTTACTTCCGACCTGTTTGACCTCCGTGACAAGTGGTCCCCTATGAATGCGAGTGTCACTTCACAGTTGTTCCAGGAACGTTTTGATGAATGGCTGCTTTCCAAAGAAGGGAATGTGCAGACACCCATTTCTGATCCTTTGACCTGTGATGAGCTGACTACAAGTCAAGAAGAAGCATTGTTGTGCCAGGTTCGGAAGATAGAATCCACCGATCAAGCCAAGCCCAACATGCATGTAGAAGCTCCAGACCATCAAACCCTCCATGAAGGGGCTCCCAAAGCAGATGAAGGAATCAATCTCAATGAAGTTTTGCGCACTCCGGGCTCTGCCAAGACGTTGCAGCCTTCTACCACGGATGCTTCAGTTACAGATGAGATTCCCAAAGTCCCTGATACACCTGTTGCAGGTGAAGTGATCCTCAGTGATACCAATGCTGGCCATTTTGGCCCCACAGAGTCTCACCAAGTATGTGCACCAACGCCAGTTGCAGCAAACAATTTTCCATTGTCTCACCTAAAGGCAGAAGGTACAGATCAGGCCCGCACAGTGCCCCCTTTTTCTGTCATGCATGAAGTTGGTAAGGACGGTTGCGCTAAGGAATTCGAGTTGTTTCACCCTTCCGGCTCCGCACCAGCCACAGGAACATCCGGTACAGTTCAAGCAGCTCAGTCTCATGCAGTTTCACCAACAGTAGTTGCAGCGCCTGCAGAAGGTTATCGAAAGCCAGTAGTGCCCTCTCCAATTTGGGAGGCATCAGGTGCGATTTCTGCTTTTGCCACAGGTTCCAGCCGAGCAGGGTCACAGCAGATGCGTATCCCAGTTTCTCCTGTGGAACATCCTCCAGATAGTACCATGAGATATCCAACACTTAGTCCCCAGCCAAGAGAACTTACCGAGCCAGGAGTGCTTATCTATGATGCTGACTTGCACACCATATCGCATCAAAAGTGTTCTCCTGATTCTACATATGCCCAGTGGTGCAAGGCCAACGAAACCATGGGCATTCAAGTTCACAATAGTTGGGACCTTTTTGGATGCCCCATTGCTCCCGATGCTTTGCTGAGTCAACTGAAGTGGATTGTAATTGGTAGTACACCCATTTTTCATGGTGCTTCCGACCTTGAAACCATTACCAATTTGCTGGTTCATATGCCCCGCATTGAGTCCGCACTGTTACAGGGTCCTGCCGTTGCCTCTGATGAAATGATGTTCTATTTAACAGCCATTTCTGCAGTTGGACTTGCCAAAGCAAAGCCTCCTTTTATCATTGATGGAATGACTGACCTCTTGGTAGATGCACAGGCATGGATCGAAGGTGTAGACCAGGTCAATCTCCTTAATGCTCAGCAGATGTCTTACTCGGCAGAGAAATGGTTGCAGTTTCATCCCATCCATGAGGCCACAGTCACAGCTATATGGACTAGGTACCATTGGATCCCAGTCTGGATAGTGCCGACCTCGGAGGGAGTCACTGTTCATACTACCTTCGAGGGCATTAAAGTTTGGGAGATGCTCTTTCCGTGGTGGCAGACCATTGTTCATGTCCATGATGCCCTTCCACCGTCATTCGATCATGATTGCGGTTTTCGAGCATTTGCCTGGTTGGTTAGTCAGTCAACTCAAACACCGCTGAGCCCATTGTCGGTCGTTGAAGCATGGGGATGGAGACATTTGTTTTGGCAGACACTTGTCACGATGCCTCGCCAACAGAATCGTTTCGTGCTGGGAGGACAAAGTGAGTTGGAGATTGCGTTGCAAGCCATCCTAAGAGAGCATGGAGTCTTTGCCAATCGCC